ATACTTTGAAAATCGTAATTTACTTACGAAGTGTGAAATAAATAATATTTCTTTGAGATTTTGCAATTTTGAAAATTGTAATTTATCAAAATTTTGAAAATATCCATTTTCTAAGGCAACTTTCTAGTTTTTTATACTACTGAAAAATTGATCGCTGCCTACTAGGCCTATTTTCATAAACTTTGAGCATTATATCATTCAATACTTATACAAAGAAAGCAATTGAATAAAAGGGATAGTTAGGGTGATTTTTTAAAGTAGAATAAAATATTTGCATGGGGAAAACAAATAAATAAACAAAATTGCTGTAAATTAAATAGAAGAAGTAGATTAAGTAGAACCGTCGTAAAATGTTTTCAATTTTAATCGAGTCCGTCGGGCGACTCTACTTTTACGTTTACTCGACCTTTCATGACTCCTAGAGAACGAAGAGATAGGTCTCCCGTTTTCGTCTGTCTGTCTGTCTATCTGTCTATCCGTTTGTCCGTCTGTCCATCTATCTGGCGTCCCGGATTTTTATTAGACAGGTAATCTCCGAAAATACTGGGCTGATTCTTGTCAAATTTTGTATTTATATTAGGAATATCATGTAGATGGTAACACACTAACCAAAATGTGTCTAATCATTAACGTAGTACTACACGTGTAGTTTATGAATCTGTGAAATGTACCCCAAATGTCCAGATTTTTAGAAAAACAAGATGTTTTAAAGTTATTATAAGTATGGTTAATTTTTAATCTAAATATATTTGCTTATCTCTCCCAAAAAATTGATGACGTTACCTCAAAATTTTGCCAAATAAATCCTAAAATGAGCAAAATATGATGAGTCTATATTTCTGATTTATCATTCCATGCATATTTTTAGATCTGCTTATACAAAGTGACTCTAAAAAATTTATGAATTAGTCAATTTATTTTATTGATTAAATCAGGAACTGTAAAACTGAATGTTTCGAAATTTTGTAAACGTTTTAAAGTTATCGTAAGCATGGTACATTTTTAATCAAAATATGACGCCCCAAAAAAATTGAAGGCGTCATCTCAAAATTTTGCCTTTATATTTTTAGAATTTCGTATACAAGGTAACTCAAAAAAAAAATGAATGAGTCAGTTTATTTTATTGATTAAATCAGGAAATGCAAACCCGAATGTTTTGAAATTTTGCAGACATTTTAAAGTTATCGTAAGTGCGGTAAATTTTGAACCAAAATATATCAATTTATCGCCTTCAAAAAATATTGATGACATCATCTCAAAATTTTACCGAGTAAATCCTATCGATGTGCAAAATTCTATCCTATAAATGTGCAATGAGTTTACCTATACTTGTGATTTATCATTGCTTTCATATTTTTGAAATTGCATATGTGACTAAAAAAGATTCAATCTTAGGGATTAAAGTAGGATCTATAAAATCGAATGTTTAGAAATCTTGCAGACGTTTCAAGGTTATTGCAAGCATAGTAAACTTTCATTTATTTTATTTTTAATTTTTACTCTGTATAATCACCTAACACCCCCTAAATTGATATACGTGTTCTTGCAAAAATAATGATGACGTCATCAGAAAATTTTGTACTATAAAAACTCACTTAAAAAAAAACGCGTAGCACCCCTCTTTACCTTTACTTGAAGATGTTCTTTATTTTAACTTATAAGGTTTATGATAAAAAATAAAATTCTCAAAATCAAATCTTATAGTTTCTCGAAACAGCTGTATTTCATGTACTGTACTTTATGGGCGAGGGAAATTCTGTCGAAACAATCTTCAACAATTTTATTTTACTTAAATATGTTCAATCATTATGTTCACTTTTAAAAAACACACATCCGTGAGTTAGAAGTATGTAACCAATGTTACATCTAGCCTCCTTCATTAAAAAAAACTAGATGTCAACTTGTTTGAATTATTACCATAAAATATACTCGATGCATCGAGTATAAACATCACAAATGGAGAATTGATAAAAATCAAGAGGTGTTATTTTGCTGTTCTACTAAGAAAAAATTGGTACCGTCATGTTTCAGACTGATATCCAGTAAAGGTGGTGGAAGATTCTGTTTGCCAACGTCGTTTTTGGACTTTTATTTAAAAAATATTGAACAAAAAAACAGGGCCAAGGATGCCAAAGTAAGTTTTTGAAATTTGAGTACAGAAAACGTGTTAGTCCGAGAAATTGACAAGTGGGTCCAAAAAAGTAATATTGAAATTACAGTACGGAAAAGTGGCATTTCATAAACATAACTGGGGACGTAAAACGACTAGATTTGTAACGATAGCCTATATATTTTAATTGATGAATTTCGCAAAAATTAGAGTTAAGTTTAATTTTTTAGGTAATTATACCGCGTGTCTGGAAAATGGCGGATTAACTCTTCAGTACGTTATATACGGGGGTTTCAGGAGTCCCAAAAAAAACAATAAAAAAAATTCTTTATGATGTAGATTGCGAAAAAACATAATTTTATAAAAGTAAAATTGGCAACACTGCACACCTCCTAATGCGTGAATACCTCCGGCTTACTTTCTGGTTTCTTAGTAACGATGGTGACTGAAATCCACCCTCGCTTTATATCAGGCAAACATTGTTGTCAAATGGAATTTTATCAAATTATAAAAACAACACAGCCATATCATTGTGCATTCTAACTGAAATGGTAATTAAATATGGTCATGGGTAAGAGCACTATTAACTAGAAGTTTTATTCCTAGCTATTGTGATAATGAATGTGTTATTTAGTTGTTAACCGTAGCAAAAGAATCAATTTTAAAATCATTATAACTCCACCAAAATGTGAGAAGAAATTTTTGTACTATTTTTCCCAGACTCACCAGTTGATTGTTAAGAACTTAGCGGAGAGTTAATCCGCCATTTTCCAGACACCCGGTATATTTGTATTGTAATATTTTTACGAGTAAATGTTCTTTTTTCAGTATAACGTTAAGTGGTTTTCTTGCTTTTTGCTAAGCCGAAGTAAACACTTATTTTACGATTTATGCGACCTACATATCCGAAATCTAGTCATAATAACTGTAATCTTATCTGATAAGCTTCAAAGTGTTTTTCTCTAAAACATATTTTTTTGGGAACACAAAATTTTAATGTTCCCCATAATAACTACTATTTAGGCCAGAAGATTTGTAACTAAGCTTATTTGGTAAAGTTGTTACTAAAGAAATTATTTTAAAGTAAAAAATTATATATACGTGCATATTTCTTTACTATGAAATTTCTTGCATTGATATGATTTCTTTAGTTTTATACTAAATTTTTTAACTATAATAAAAAAACAAAAATCAGAGCCTCATTTTTATGTTAACCTTTATTCGATAACTGGAACTAAAGCAAATTTCGTAACTACGGTGTTGCTAAAATCAGATTTTATATTTTGAATTATATATTTTAAAGAAGTGATTTTTTAATGATGTTAGCGAAGGTAGAGAAACCAATGCTGTACGAGACCACTATGATTTTTCTTTAACGTATACTGATTGAAGGCAAGAAAACCGATTGTTTTAGTACTGCAAGTAACTGAAAATAACGAAAATTTAAAGTGATGTCGTTTAATTCACCCTTAAGTTAAATTTTCATTGGAATCACAAATAATAATAATCAATAACCCACGTACCATTTTGAGTTTCTCGATGCGCATTTTGTCTGCAATAAGACCTGTAAAAGTCGTTGGTTTTACGTAGAATATAGAGCAATTTAAATTATACACACATGATTAACGATAGATTGAAAATTCAATCGTGCGTTTTGTAAGACACATGTCTTTGACAGATCGATTTCCCCTAGATTTCAATGTATGTGTAAAATTTCTTCGAGCAGAGTTTTTCAAGACGCGCGCAAAATGGTTTGTCTTCATACGTTTACTTTTAGCTGAGCAACAGCGTTTTCTAAACATTTTCTGTAATTCACGTTTTCTTTTATCGAACAAGAAACGCCTTAACATCAAGGATACGTCGGGTCAGAAGGGATGGAAGAGTTAAAACAGATGACTTGACAAGGCAAAATGCGTGTTTATTGAGTGGTGGAAGTGATCAGTAGTTCGTCCACGTTTCAAGTCGCGTCACCACCACCCCTCTCTTGTACCTCGCGTGTCTTTATTGGGAAGTTCTCTCATTTTTTGTCGTTCTTAAACATTTTTCACATTTTCCATGACTAGGAACATTTTACGTATTCAACGGAAATGATATAGCGAAATTGGCTTTACTTATGTTGTATTTTCTTATTTTTTAACGTGCTCTAACTCTGAATTTTCTAGCTTGGTATTCCAACACTACACGACCATTTATTTATTTGAAGGAGTGAAGGCTGAAGCTATGCCTGCGAATATTACCGCTTGAAATCTAAGCTCTTGAAATATTCTCCTATAAAGTTTCTTACAAGGTTAACAGTTGAGTTAAAATTTTACTACATGTAGATGAAAAAAATGTGATTACACGATTATTAAAACATTTCTTTAAAGTAGTCACACATTTGTTAAAATGAAACTTGGTTAATAACAGGACCTAAGAGTTAGACATCTGTTAATATCAGTTAAGTAACTATATACATTTGAAGGGATAGTTTTTCAATAAAATGTAAAATCTTGACTGCTTCTCAATCGAAGTTATCGATGAACTCATACCACTAAATAATAACGTATCATAATGAAATGTAATTTTAGAATAAGTGTGTGGATAGTATCAAGACGAGTATCAAGAAAGAATACCGAAGAAGCAGGACAAAAAGCTGCGCACGTTCTTGCAGGATTTACTTTTATAGAACAACTAACAGGCCTCGCTACGAACCTGCTACTCTTGTCGAATACTGAACACTTTCTTTAATGGAAATATACATGAGGATATAAAGAGTGGAGCAGAGGTCGCGTCAATTTACAAATCGCTTCGGACAAAATTAGATCACGCAGTTATATGATCAACTTTTACGTTATCGAAGATTTTGGTTAATGTATATAATTATATAGTATATATATAATTAAACGTTGAGCACGTGCTGTTGTTTTTTATTTTTGTAAAACATTTTTATTAACAAGTACAATAAACAGTTATCTTGATATGTATCAAAGTGCAGATGGTACAGTCGTAGTGGTTACTGTAGTAGTTTCTGTCGTTGTTGTTGTAGTTGGTGGTGTTACGGTTGTAGTTGTAGTTGTAGTCGTTGTATCGTCGGGGTCAATTAGTCCGAACGGATTACCCAACCAAGGGTATACTTGTGGACAAGTTACGCACGAAGTCATGTACCTAGTTTCATTATTAATGTTTTGCAAAGGACATGAACTTCTTTGGCAATCAGCTGTTCTTGTTGGAACCTCCGTTTTAAAACTGCCCAGATTTACTGGATTTCTGGCCCAGTCAATTACTTGTTTTTGGGAAACAAGAAACACATCACCTCTGCTAAGAATATTGTCTAAAAATGCTTCAAAACCTTCATAGCTGTTGTTCGTAAAACGAAACCAAGCTGATGACACCATAAGTGTTAAAGGGGCTCTGTTTTCAATACGGTCTACTTGACTTTCTAGCCACGCAGCAATTTCGTCAGCGCTTCCTCTGTAAATAGAATTCATAATACCAAGAACAACATTACATTACATGAACATACTGGATATTACAAGAAATTAGGGAGTTACATTCAAGTACAGAACCATCCGTACCGTTTCCTTGTAGATCAATTATTGGAGCAATCCAGAATCCTGGATGAGCTTCTGTAGGACATGTAGTACCAATACGGCATTCCTGAGGGGATAAGTAATCCAAAGTGTAAGGAAAAAATAAAGCAGTACTTCGTGAAGTCCACGAACTGTCATACTGTAGCGAAGAAGCCACATATGCGTTAATTGAAACGTCACTCTGAAGCTGGAGCTGTGGTGTTCTAACTCCTACAATATCGTCAGTAGGAATGTTAGCGAAATGCCCTATTATAGTTCGTTGTCCGTCAAATTCTTGTACTAGAGTGTCTTCGCTAGCGGTAGACCAATATTCCGATAAAACGTTTCTACTAAAATGTTTAATCATTTGAGATTATACCAAGACCGGGGTAAGGATAAATTACGTAATGGAATTTACACCAATTTCATATCCCTGTACATACAAATCTTGAACTCTGCCATAGTCAGTATACTCATGAGGAACAAAGAACGTTGCGCTTATAGGATTACCGTCAGGATTTTTTCGGTCAAATAATAAAGGTTGCCAAACACTGGTAAATAAATTGTCAACAACTGCTTCGTCAAACGTTAAGCTGATCAGCTAAAATTTGAAATAATTAGTAGTTGTCCTTTAATAGTAGCCCCTTACCTGGGGAATTTCTTCATCGCCAAGAGGGGAATCCGGCCTAGCACATCGGCAGTCAGCACTATTACACGTATCTGCATCACATTTATCTGCTTGATCAACGAACCTAGAGCTAACTAAGGTGAAAAGAAACAAAAAAACTATCACTCCTACTTTCATTTTAAACACTGCCTTATGAACGTGCTGATATTAGCGGTTGAATTGTCTCTTATATAAAATTTTTATCACTTTTCTCCTTCCTGTTGAAGAATAGATAAAATTTTTAAGATAAAAATATTGTTTATCTACCACTGATTTTAACAACAATTGTTTAAGAGAGATTTGTCTAGCAATAATCAGTCTTAAATTTAATTAAAAATAATCATTGCAACTCCAGTCTGATAATTAAAAATTATGAAATACTCCTAATAGTTAAAAATGAAAACTGCTTTTGCATTTGTCATTATATTTATTATTTACATCGGTTAATTTTTTGTTATGCAAGCAACATTTCACTCTCCTAGTGGATCATCCAGCCACGGATATTTATCGGGGCACGGTACACAGCTATACATGTATCTAATTTGTCCCTCAGAATTTTCTAACCGACAATTTACTTCTGTACAGTTAGACGTTCGCTCTAGTACTTCTGTTTGAAACTGGTCTAGAGTTACGGGATTATTCATCCAATCGAGTACTTGCTTTTGACTAACAAGAAATACATCATTGTAGCTACCTAATGTGTCTAAAAATTTTTGGAACCCTTCATAACTGTTCTCGGTGGCACGAAACCAACCTGTAGGCACCAACAAAGTTAACGGTGCTTTGTTACTTGAACGTCCTCTGTCAACTTGTTCTAAAAGCCAGGCAGAAATTTCATCAGCAGTTCCACTAGAATGAGGATTGGAGACATTAAGATGAATTTATGATTAATAGCAGTTCTTTTCATACCGAATATTGCAACCACTTAGAGCAGCACATTCATCTGAATTATTTCCCTGTAAATCTATTATTGGGGCAATCCAGAAACCAGCATGAGTATCAGATGGGCAGGTGGTACCAAGTCGACATTCCTGACAATGTGAATCTACATAATCCAAAGTGTATGGAAAAACTGCTTTTGTGCTTCGAGACGTCCATGAACTATCGTACTGGAGACCAGAAGTTATGTAAGCATTGATTGAAACATCACCTTGTAGCTGAAGCTGTGGTGTTCTGGCTCCTATTATGTCGTCAATTGGTATATTTGCAAAAGTAGATATAATAGTTCTTTGACCTTGAAACTCTTTTACAAGAGTCTCTTCTGTGGCCTCTGACCAATATTGCGATGAACTATTTCCTCTAAAGCAAAAAATTAATGTGCTGTAAATATAAATGTAGGTTGCAGTTACGTTATTGAGTTTGAACCTATTTCAAATCCTTGGACATAAAGGTCCTGAACTTTTTTATAATCGGTATATTCATGAGGAACAAAAAACGTTCCACTTACAGGATTGCCATCAGGATTTTTTCGATCAAAAAGCAATGGTTGCCAAATGTTGCTAAAAGTGTCATTTAAAATCGCCTCATTGAACGATAAAACTATAAGCTAATAAAAAAATATGTAAATTCTCTTATAGGTACACTTTTGAAATTTATTACCTGTGGAATTTCTCCATCTGCAACAGGTGAAGTTGTACCACAACAGCGACAGTCGGTACCTGAACAACCACAGTCTGCAGCTTGAACTGAAGCAGTTCTAGCAAGAAGAAAGCACAGGGCACTCACAAGCAGAAAACGCATGTTTGCATTTAATTTATATATTTAGTTCAGTTGACTGTAGAGAACAGACTGAATTCAAAATGCATCTGATCCTTTATTTTATGCGGATGCCAATTTTGCAGGCCTTGGATTCACTAGACAATGCACTAACTGAGGCACTGATTTGATAACATTGTGTTCATTCAAGTAGTATTTGGATATTGCGATAAATTTATTTGAAAAAAATTACTTCATCGGTCTATATACATAATTGCCTTATCAATGATAATAATTAAAATATAACATGTAAGGAGAAAAGCTTCTTGAGATATTAAAAAATATGTATAGGATATCATTCTATGTGCACATGCAGTAGGAAATAAAATTTGGCATAATAACTCAAAGTTTTAAGTACAAATTCTGTTGTTCGTTTGTAAGTTTGCTATGGTGTCCCTTTTATGAGTTTTTGTGATAATGTTTATCTCACAGTAGTAGTTTTTGAGCTAGTTTATGTAACTGTTTTACGGGACAAAAATTCAACATTATTAACAAGTGAGGTAAAATGCCCACAAATGTTGTAATGAAATGTAACTATGAATAGAATGGCATTCAATTTGTATTCGTCTTATTTTTATGCCCTTATATAAAAGCTGCTACGGTAAGATAAAACATATCATACGTGAACGAAATGAGCCGATGCGCTCTATTCTAAATTCTCACTCGCTTATGATATAGAATTTCACTAATATGTAATATGAAATACTATTATTCAATTCTAACGAAAATAATGAAGAAAAAGTTACAATTAGTATACAGATAAACCAGTTTATAACAACTGTTTAGAAGACTAACAAACAGCTTCCGAATCAGTAAATTAATTTCATATTGTTATGTTGAGATTGTTGAAATAAACTCATAAGTTTTAGTGATCAGTTGATCCCACCTAAACAAAGCCCCGGAAGTAGCTAGCGGGTCGCCCTGGAATGGTACCAACTGTCAAAAACTTCTTAAAAATCAGTGATAAAATTAGTTTTACTACTACGTACAAAATTGCTGATTCTAGTTCAGTATTTTACATTATTTATCAAATATTTTTAATTTTAACTTTCCGAGCGAATGACTACTTTCATATTTTCTCGGCGGGTCATGACCTCTAGAGTACGAAAAAATAGATCTCCCGTTTTCATCTGTCTGTCCGTCCGTACGAACGTTCGCCATCTGTGTTGAGTTTTGTTAGACAGATAATCTCCGAAACTACCGGACCGATTGCTGCAAATTGTATATATGGGTGTCATGAATATGAACGTTAACCAAACTTTATCTACAAATTTTAAATTATTTGTGTATTGTTTCAACAATACAATAATTTAAAACGACCTCCAACAACATTGTACGTAGTAAATGGGATTTAAATTATATAAAATGTACGTGTAGTTTATGAATTCGTTTTGAGTTTTTACCTAAGACATTAATATTTTTGAAAAAAAATCAAATTTGTAACAATATTTTGTAAATGAAATCAGGAATAACTCACTCCATTTTGCCCGAAAATTTGGGAATGCAATGTTATTATTAATATTACACTGCATCCAAATTAATGTGCATGCCCTTGCAAAAATTGTTGAGGACGTATTCACAAAATTTTGTAATGGAAAACTCAACTGCAACAAACGCCTAGCAAGCAAAATCAAACTTTACAATTTTTTGAAAAAGCTGGAGATATTCTACTGCATTCCAGTAACGAAGGAAGTTCTGTCTAAATAACTTCGACCAATTTTTTGCAATTATAAAATAAGATTGGAATAATGTTTATATTTTTTCTAAATGGATCATAATTTATACTTATAGTATAGTTTGGATCAGTTCAGTATAAAAATGTCTGTTACGAAGTTTCAATGCTAAAATATACGTAAGTTAAAAAACGGTAAATATATTAATATATTTGAAAAAGTATGCTACACTGTACATTTCGAGTAACAAATGTGTAACAAAATTTTGTAAATCGTCAGATTTTCAATCAAATTTTTTTAGAATAATTCTAAAGGTAACTTCGGTGCCCATTTCTTTAGATTAAACAGTCAACGTAGTTTAGGAATGTGATAAGACTGATAAGAAGACTAATGTAAGGCAAAATATTATCATTAGCATAAATCATTTGAGAGTTCTGGACGCTGTATATAATAACATGCACATTCTAACAGTAATAATTTTTTATTTTTGACCAGTAATAATGATTGCTGAGAAAGGTGAAGAATCGAAATCAATTCAGTCAAATAAATAAGAATTAGTGCAGACAAGGTGTTAACTGAGTTTGTATAAAAAATTAGACTAAAGTTATTTAGACAGAATTTCCCCCGTGCTTGAAATACAGACGAACAAATACAGATTTTTTAATAAAATGTAATTTTGGGAGGTTTAGTTTTCTATGATAAGTTAAAAAAGATAGATGTGGAGGATTAAAGTTCAGGTAAAAAACCATATTATGCGTATAAATATATAAAATGTTATAAAGCTTTGATATATTTTTTTTAAACTTTGGATACCTAGGTCAAAACGTCAAAAGAATCATAAATCAGAACTGCAGGAGTATGTTATTTCATAAAATTTATACAACATTACTAATGTAAATTTTGGAGATGACATCATTCTATTGATGATGGAGATGATCAGCCAAATTTTCGTTAGCGCTTTACCATCTACACCATATTCCTTACATAAACATAAAATTTGACAACAATCTGTCCAGTAGTTTCGGAGATTACCTGATAAAAGGTTCTCGCACATTCCCTGTCATTATCATTAAATGGATTTATCGAGGAGGCACTTAATGTTAGGAAAATTGATTATTTTGTGAACAATTCTACGCTTGAAGTATACAGGGCGTTTATCTGTTCACGCCTGAATATTTCTGCAACCCATTTTACGTTTCATAAACAGCTTTGATTAATTTTTATTTTTAAATAATAATGAATGCATAGGTAACAATGATCAGAATCAAAATTATGACAAATTATTTCTGTCAGCCAAATATTTTCAATTTTAGTTTGCATTAAAATGTTTTCGAATTCTGAAAAAGCAGACATGCTATTAATATTGGGAAAGTGTGACAAAAATTTTGATGCTCCTGTTCGTCTTTACGCGAAATAAAATCACCTATTTTACGTTACACAGTTTATTTACAACGCACAAAAATTATAATTGCCGGTTTCTCGGGTCGGCACGTCTTTACCCTCTCGATACTTCTCGACGACTCCCCGAGAGAGGAAAATAATAAAAATAGTTAAACTACCCTAAAACGGGTGGGAGTAGGGTGGACAAATTGGCTACACCCAAACCCCTGTTCAGGTAAACTGAACACTAAGCAACATCCCAATAGAAGAAGTCCCTCAACTCAAGCGTTTAGAAAACTTGAAAAAAATTTACGAGAATTTAGGCAATTCAAAAAAAGTTAGGAATCGAACTGTAACAGCGCCGGTTAATGAAGCTGCTCTAAGTGCAATTGTAGCAAAAAATCCCCACCTGAGTCAAAGAAAGATTGCAAGACAAATGGAGATTAGTTAGGGTTCGGTTTTCAACCATCCACACCATGTGACAATTGTCCAACATTTAACAGAACGCGATTTTATCCGACGGTTAGTGTTTTGCGAATTCGTGAGGGCTAAATTACGCAACAATCAAGATTTTTTATTTAAAAAATAACGGAAGTATAAACAGACACAACTCACATTACTATGCCCAGCAAAATCCCCATTGGTATCAGTAAATACACTTCCAAGAAGATTTCAAAGTTAATGCTTGGTGTGGAATTCTTGGTAACCACCTCATTGGTCCACATTATTTTGAAGGAAATTTAAACGGACCTATGTATCTAAATCTTTTAAAGAATATGTTACCTGAACTGTTGGAAAACATAAAGCTAGACATACGAAGAATAATTTGGTTTCAAAATGATGGCGCGCGCTCTCGCTCATTTTCAGAGGGACGTTAGGAACTATTTACACACAGCGTTTGGACCAAGACTTATTGCTAGGAGAAGAAGAGTACGCTTGGCCTGCACGGAGCCCTGAACTAACGCCATTAAATTTTTTTCTTTGAGGGAAGGTTAAAAATGACGTTTTTTCACTAGCAGCCTGGACGCATGCAAATGTCGACTCATTTAGTGGTAGCAAATTCAACTTTTGCTACCACGGGTTCAAAAAGAAAAACTGAGGTTATGTACGCAATGTTTGATGTGATTATTTCTTAAAAAATGAACAAATGTGTGCTACAAACATTACTTGAGTATACGCATGGTAGTTGGTAGACGGTAGAAGATAAAATGATTAACTCAGCGAGAAGTATAAACGATTTTCTTTGTGTTGAAGATTTAGATCAAGTTTGATTAGAAATCAAAACAAAATCACGTTGCGTCAAAAAATTTAACGTTTATTTTTCAGTTTATTGTCTTATGGTTTCTACTAGTGAAAAAAATAGTATATTAACCACGGTTGCAAAGCCACTTCTAGACCTCGCACTTAGAGCCCTCGACGCTGCGCGTCTCGGGTTCTAATTTGCGCTCGGTCTAGAATGCTTGACTCTGCAACCTTGGCTAATAATATACTATTATAGTGTCCCAATCGCAAATGAAAACCACTTACGTGAAACGATAATAGCGTCATGCAGATCTATAATTCCCGACATGTAAGATAGAGTTCGCACAAATTTTGAACGTAGGAGAGGACTTTGTGAAGGTAGTGGAGGCAGGCATTTTGAACATTTATTATAAATTCGTTTTCTTTGTAATCTGATCCATTAATAAATTAAGTATTATTTTTTTCAATTTTATCATTATTTGGCATTGACATCTTCGTCATTTTTTTGTGATTGCTATGATTGCTTATTAAAAAAAAAATTAAATTGGACGAAGTCGTCTCTGGGGTGTATAATATGTTACCTATGCAAAAATTGTCAGGCGTGAATAGATAAAATGAACATCCTGTATAAAAAACCTATGTATATAAATATAGTATTTATTTATATTGAAAATTGGTTTTAATGAGAATTTTTTACAATTTCAAGTGTGTTTTTTGACAATTATGTCCTTAACAATACTGTTTATATTTTATTAAATAATATACAGTTACTTTGATTGTCAATAGTTTAAATACATTAAAAAATCGAGAGTAGCTGAAATCTGTCGTCTAAGAATTATCTTAATGACTGATAAAGTGATACCTGATCTTTATACATTACCTTGGGTTTAAGTGTTGTTACAAGAAGAGTACATAAACTTAGAACTTTTAATATTTGACGGTACCAACAAACTTAAAAAAAGTACTCTTTTTGCCGTAGATATCTTTAGTGGACGACTGTTGTTAGTTAGTATATAAATAGTTTACAGGTTATTGCTTGCGTTGTTACCTCAATTCACCATCAGTTTCTTTAAAAAGGATGTCACTAAACTCTGACACTTCAGCAATCCATCATGGTCTACTTTTCGTTTACGTAGCGTAAAAAAGTAACACTAAAAAAGTGAACATTTAATTTAATTTAATTTAATTCTAGTATGGTTAATTTCAAACATTTATACAAGCAATCAGTTTTAAAAACTTTGTAAATTTTTAAAAAGAAAACATTCTAATCATGTATGCTTTTGTGATGGTACGTCCCAACTAGATATTTATAAAAAATATATTAAACAAAATAATACAAGCTATTTATTTTACCATATATATTTTTTAGTTTTTACTTTATTGGTAATATTTAACTTTGGCAGGATTTCTTATTATAAGACAATGATTTTCTGTGCTGACTTCAGTTGTTATATGGGAATATTTAGATTTAAAAGTTCCTGATATTATTTAAACACAATTGTAATACCAATAGCATGTTACCTAAAAAATAATTCATTTGTTTAATTGTAATAAATAAAATACCTCTTTACGTACAGTCCGGTTACATTTTTCCTAAAGGATTTCCCAGCCAAGGGTACACGTCTGGGCAAGGGACTACACACGATGTCATGTATCTAGTTTCTGTGTTGTTCTTTATGAGGGGACATGTAATTTTCGTACAAGAGGCAGTTCTTTGTGAAGTAGTAGTTTGAAATTCACTCAGAGGTACCGGATTCTGAACCCATTCTATTATTTGTTTCTGATTAACGAGAAAAATGTCACTGTATCCAGTCAATGAGTCTAGGAACTGTTGAAAACCTTCGAAACTGTTTTCTATAAAGCGAAACCATGCTGATGGTACGAGTAGCGTCAGAGGTGCCCTATTCGTTGATCGAACGCGCTCGACTTCCTGTAGTAGCCAAGATGCTATTTCGCTTGCTGTCCCACTTTAAAATTACGGTTATATTATTAAATGTTTGCTGATGTTGCTCTGAATAACTTACTGAACATTACAGTTGGTCAAGGCATTACATTCAACCAAATTTTCTCCCCGAATGTTATTTATAGGGTTGATCCAAAAACCGGGATAAGATTCCTGTGGACAAGAAGTATCTGATCTGCATTCTTGACTTGATAAATAATCTAAAGTGTAGGGGAAAAGGTGGGCTGTACTTCTAGACGTCCAGGAATTGTCATATTTCACACCAGAAGCAATATAAGCCCTGATTAAAACGTCTCCTTCGATTTGAAGTTGAGGTGCTTGCGCTCCAGTTATATCTGTTATAGGAATATTAGCAAAATGAGAAAGAAGTGTTCTTTGACCTCCGAATTCATCAATTAGTGTTTGTTCTGATGCCTGGGCCCAGTATTCAGCCAAACTATTTTTTCTAAAATATTTAATTGACACTGAGTTGAATGATATCTTGACGAAGCATGCACTTACGTTATCGAATTGACACCAATTTCATATCCTTGTAAATAAAGCTCTTGAACATGAGAGTAATCTGTATATTCATGCGGAACAAAGAAACTAGCACTTATAGGATTGCCATCTGGGTTTTTTCTGTCAAATAAGAGTGGTTTCCACAATTCATTAAAAAGATTGTCCACTACAGCTTCATCAAAAGTTAAAGCAATTAACTGTAAATGTATTTATTTTATTAAAGGTGCAATGGTAAACAAAAGACCTTTACCTGTGGTGTTTCCTCTACTGGTAAGGGGGAGTTGACACCAGAACACCGACAGTTTTCGGAGATGAGGCATGTACTTGGCTGACATTGTTCTGCAGTTTGTTTTGATGTGGAAAATAGTTGCGAGGATAACAACATTAACAATATCGCTTTCATTTTTGATCCTCTTCAGTTTGACTTACAGGTTCGCAACTGATTTTTTTAAATTTGGAATTATATATATAGACAGTAAAAATATACCAGTAAAAATATCCTGTGATTATGATTAGTTACGTCTTACACGATTTTTTACGTAGACTTTCATAATCACTCATGATAACGTCAAGAGTGAGTAACTCTGGGATTACAGAATTTGCACACAATACACATAACACACATGGATATATTGAATTTAAACATTGCAAAATTGTGGCGAAACACCGAAAAATATGCAACTCTAACATTTCAAAAACGGATTAAGTGATTATAGTTTTATGGTACAGAATAATATTCCTATAATTTTGTTGTCAGGTTTCACTTTTATAATTATTTTTATAAATTTTTATTAAAAGTTTTTTTTTAAGCAGTGTTGGTAAATTTTATTGTATCATTAGAAGTTTTACATAAATAAATAATATAAAATTATATTAACAAAATAAATAAGTACAGTGCACCAAATAATGATTTTGTTTTTAGATTTCTCCAAGTGGATTGCCCTTCCATGGGTACTGCTGTGGGCAAGGGACGCACGATTTCATGTATCTTTCACTGCCATCCAAGAAACGAAGTTGACAATTAATCGCAAGACAGTCGCCAGACCTATCATGTACTGTAGATTGGAAACTTGAAGCTGGTATGGGATTTTTAATCCAGTTGATAATATCGAGAACTGACACAAAGAAAACGTCATTCCTTTTTTGTATTTCATCTAAGAACAAAACGAATCCTTCATAACTATTTGTAGTAAAGCTAAACCAATAAGAATCTAAACGGAGTACTAGCGGTGCTCGATTACCATTGTGTACACGATCCACTTGCTCTATCAACCAGTCAGCAATTTCTTGAGCTGTTCCTCTGTAATTAAATTGCAATTACTGGAGATATAGTTGGTACAAAATTTAAAGTAAACTTACTGTATTAAACACGTAGCAAGAGAGTTGCATTCAACACTGTTATTGCCTCTAATGTTGGTGATAGGTGCTACCCAGAAATGTTCATGAGATTCTTTTGGACAAGTAATGGTAACTAAACACTGCTGAGTTGATGCGTAGTCTAGCGTGTAAGGCAAAAAAGGTTGTGATGAACTCGTTGGCCAGGAGTTGTCGTAGCTTAAGCCCGCTTGTTTGTACGCGTTAATAGTTAGGTCACCTTCTATTTGAAGTTGAGGAGTTCTGGCTCCCACAATGTCTTGTTCGGGAATCTTAGCAAATTTTGAAATTATCTGTTTTTGGCCACCAAATTCTTCTATGAGATCGTTTAATGTAGCATGTCTCCAGTATTCTTGTGAAGAATTTTTTCTGCAAAGGAAAAAAAATTTTACTAACATTACATAATTAACATTTCAAATTAAAAAAATATATACTCGTAAAAGTTTAACATTCGAAGATTACGGCGGCATAATAATATTACCAACAAGATGATAATCTATTAATCTAATATGCCTATTTATTTTTAATATACGATATTGGTCTGTAGGTGGTAACAATTTGATAAAACGAAGACTAAAACTGATTTACCATAAAATGATAACAACAAGATAAATTCTATACTTAACTGTAAAAGGAAAATTTCATCGTGCAGAAGCTGGTCATAATATACAGCACTATGTAAATAGATTCACTTACGTAACTGAGTGCACTCCTATTTCGTATCCTTGAAGATATAAATCTTGAACTAGTTCATAATCCGTGTACTCATGGTTCACATAGAAGGTTGCCCCTATAGGTTTGCCATCGGGATTTTTACGGTCAAAAAGTAATGGTTTCAGGTACTCGTGGTAGAGGGTCGTAACAACAGACTCGCTGACCGTTAATGCTATTAGCTAAACAAAACAGATTCATGAAACTGCCTGGTTTTAGTAAATGTATTGACTACTTACTTGTGGTGCTGGATCACTGGGGTTGTTAATTGGATTGTTAACTGATGAACAACGACAATCATTTTCAATTTTGCATGCTGATGTTGTGCACGTGGCAGCATTTTTCAGAGAAGGATAACTTTGTGCAATACAAATCACAGCGGTAAAAATAATTATGATTTTCATGTTGCTGTTGACTAACTACTAGAAAATAGTTAAGACTTTATGTACTATGCCTGTAGCTCTGAAAGGCGAGATTTTTATATATAGTTTTGAAGCAGATAAAGTAATGTCGTCAGCTGTAACAGATAAGAACCCATCACTATTGAGAAATTTTAGTGGGATTAGTAATTTCCTTGAATCTCGGAATATAATTACGAAGTGTCAGAGTTTATGATCTATATTATAACAAACTTCCTGTTGTACTTTTTGCTTTAAATGTAAAAAGTAAGTTATGTGTATCTGTTACAGCTAATATCCGAAATCCGCTATTATGCATAATAACTAGACATTTTAGGAATTACGCGTAATAACTAAACTTGTCAGTGATTATGCATAATAACCGGAAAGATTAGGAATTATGCGTAATAACTGAAATTTTCAGTTATTATGCATAATAACAGAAACGTTTAGGTAATATTGATAATAACTAACAGAGGAACAGAAATTATGAATAATCTTTTCAAAAAAGCTACCCACCCTGCCTCGCTTTCCCCTACATATCACATGTACAGTTGATTTAAAAAAAAAAAAACGGGACAAATTACAGTAACATAAATGTCATATTCCCATTGCCTTTCATTGATCTATGAAAACCTGATTTGCTCATTTTTTGTGAAATCAGCTGGGCATGTTAGGCAATATGCTTAATGTCTAATGTTTCAGGTATTATGCATAATTCCTGTTCCTCTGTTAGTTATTATCAATATTACCTAAACGTTTCCGTTATTATGCATAATAACTGAAAATTCCAGTTATTACGCATAATTCCTAATCTTTCCGGTTATTATGCATAATAACTGAGAAGTTTAGTTATTACGCATAATTCCTAAAATGTCTAGTTATTATGCGTAATAACGTATTTCGGATATTAGCTGTAACATATCTACGGTAAGCATAATTCTGTACTTTGAGTGAATATAATATTTTCAGTAAGACAAATCGAAAATATATGTATCTGTCAATAAAATTTATTTAATACAAAATGTTGTGAGCCAAACTGATAATTTATGAAGGACATTTCCATGCAAAATGTTTAAGGAGTGTTTACAAATCAAGAAGAATATTTCGACATTTCATTTGGATGGTTGTCTTTCTAAAATTTCCTACAATAATAACATAAATTATTATGTTATTATTACAGTAGTTTTATTACATTCGCATTTCATGCTTTTTGCAGCATTTCGAAATAATGTTGTCTGTTTATTGATGTTAAGGGTAGTTTAGATAAATATATCTGCATTTATTATTTAATAAGTTATATATACACATACATATATCTAATCAATAATCACTAATAAAAAAGTGACCTTATAGTTTTCTTTAGAAAAACAGCTGTTCACAGAACCAGTTATGAAAAGTTTCGTTTTGTGTAACGAGTATTAATTTTACGAAACGAGCTATGCGAGTTTTGTAAATGTACATGAGTCCCACAAAAGGAAGCATACATAACGCCTTTATATAAAGATTTAGTGTAATTTTTGTTACTAACAGCTTAATTTCAAACTGATGAAATCTTAAAATTTAATATGTATATCGAACTATAATACTTCCTAAAACAGATGAGTAAAATAGAATACCATATTTCAAAATCTGTTTCAAGAATTAACGATTATAATTAGTTGATAAAACGCAATATTAAAGAAAAAATTGTTAAGTGGCGATATCCGTCGGAAGAGACCTGGGTATTAACTTGTCAGAACATGAACTATGACGAGGTTTCAAGTGTGCTTTAAGTAAAAATGAGAATTTAAAGTTCAAATCTGTAATGTACATTTCTTGGTAATCTTACTGATAAATTTAGATTTCTAAATTAAGCTTTACGTTAATACCGGATTTACTTTTATTACACATGTCTACAGAATATGTATTTTTACAAATAATCATTAAAAATCAAGAAAAATAGTATTAAATAAACTTTCTACTGGATAAGAAACAAATAATCTAAACAGATTGTATAACTGGTCAGTCAGTAACGAACTCCTTCTAAACAAAGCTAAATGTTTTGTTAAATTTTAATGTACAATTACACAATTGATGATTCTATACTAGAACGACCAGAATACCTCTATGATGTTGGTGTCACCTTCGACAGAAAGCTAAAGTTTGACAAACATATTGAGAATGTTTCAGCCTTGGCGTAGGTCTCTAGGTCTCGTCATTCGCAACTCGAGTGCTATATAAGACAAAGAAGTTTTGTCACTTCTATTTTTCACTTATATTCGTTCACGTCTAGAGTACCTATTCATCGGTTGTGTGGAGTCCCATATATAATTGTCACATTTCTGCATTAGAAAAAGTTCAACGCAGATTCTTGAAGTTCTTATGTTTCCTAGATGATGGTGTGTATCCTCCAAACGAGGTGTACCTCAAACGCTTATTATGCCACCGGAATATTGCCTCTCTTATGTTCTACATTCAGTAGTAGATTGTGAAGATATTCAGAACCTTTTGTACTTCAAAGCCTGCGGAACTAACTTAAGATTTTGTTCAATCTTAGAGGCACCACGACCAAAAACCAATGGTACTAGAGCATCACCCCTCTATCAAAAGGTGGATATCTTCAATTGCACAACTCGTGATATAAAAATCTGTTATAAATTATAATGCATTTACATTTCTTGGTATTGTGGCCGTCAAATTAGACCGAATGCTGCCTGGAGCGCGGTCGTGCTGCCACTCATTGAAGTGATTAGGATGGTTGTAATTTTTATTACTCTTCACTGTTTGGGCACAGCATATCTCTTATTTAAGTACAAACTGAATGGTACGCGGCATTCGGCCCAAATTTATGGGATCTATGGGCTGTGGTTAGGGGTTTATTGAGCGCTTGAGGTCTTCAGCTTATTGTGACAGCTACTATAGCTACTTCCTGCACTAATTTTCATGCATTGTATGTCTCTCTCCATTTTCTGTTTTTGTTTCCTTTTTCATATGTATGTCTTTCATTAAAAGAGCGGTAGTCTGTTGAAAGACTATTAATTAATAATAATAATAATAATAATAATTTATTAAGTGGAGTTTCAGTAAATATCTGTTTATAACTATCCATAGTCTTTGTTTTTGTTACAATAACAATATTGTCGATAAAGAAAACGATTTATTTCTCAGATTTCTGCAGAGATTTACCAAAATTAATTCTAAATTAAAAAAAAATGCTCCCAGTAAGTAATAGAAATTGTGACGAAAAGATATAAAAATTAGCGAAAAGGTAGTTGCAGCTTATAAAATGGAAATAATAGTCACAAACTATTCAACATTAATACATATAAAATTCGAATATAAATACATACAATGGAACAACAAATTAATGACGAAAATTGCTGGAAATTAAACATATTTGAATAAACTTCATTTTCATAAATTTTTCACATTATGAAACCACAAACAATCAAGAATGCAGAACATTTCGCACATTGTACACCTGCACCTGCGGGCTCGTGAGGTAAACGAAAATATCCTATAAAAGTATAAGTGATTTAATAAAAAAAGACTAAACAACATATACATTGATGTTAACAGGTTTGAACTCTAAGTTAGTCATCGAACAATATTCTTTCAGCCCTCATTTTAAGAAGAAGCGACAAAGAAAATATACTTGTATTACCCCTGACCAGAAGACAAAAAAGTGAAATAAATTACATTATATCAAGCAATAAACATATAGCAAAACAGAGAGCATTTATTGCTGAGAGTTCAACAGGAAAATAAGGAAAAGATGTAATCAGAGTATGTATACTATCAGTCAGACAAGCAAACTTTTTTGTATCTCTTTTAAGTGAAATTAAGTTAATCACGTGCTAATGAGGCGTTTAGCGACGTTTGATTGGCGTAGTGTCGGTCACGTGGTACTTACTTTAATGCCGACTTAAAAATTTAATTGCAATCAAATATTTAATTGAGCTTCTACATATAAACCGGATCTAAATATTATGCCTGTTTTTAAATATTATTCATACATTGACAATATAGGTATAATAGTGCATAAAACATAAGAGTTCATTTCCAACCCTACAATAATAATTGAACCTAAAGTATCCTTCTCTTCCCCTGTTACACTTCCTTCATCCATTTTATTCCCCTTCCATCTTCTATCAATATTTCTTATCTACTTTCCTCTTTCATTATATGTTCTATTGTTCTTTTCCACACATTCTGTAAACTCTCTTCCTCACTCATCCAAAATTTATTTTCTTTCCCTTCATTCTTGCATCTAAATCGAGCCATCATTACTCGTTCCTTCTTTTTTTTTTGATGTTAGGTACTGTGGTTCTCCTTCCTCTATTATCCTTAAATATCTATCGTCCTACCTAGAATTTCTTATCTCTTCTATCTTATTTATTAGTGAAAAGTAATGATCTAATGATATTAAATTTGCAAATGGAGTATAATAAGTCACGTGCATATATAAATTTACTGTTTTAAAAATAACAACGGAAAAACTATATATATTGCAGAAATAGCATTTAAGTTTTTTCCGATTTTGGTCTAATTTTTGCCCTGTTCTGCTATTTTTATTGTTTATTTCCTACGGATTCGCCATAATCTCATTCGTTGATGTGTTGAAATTTCCTTAAGAAGTCTTTGCTTCTTCTTGGATTGCGAAAAGAAGCTTGCCCGCTCGGAGGCTCATCGCTCTTACCATCTTACCAAGTCTTCGATATATTTTGATTATTTCGCTCGCATTTTACTCGTTTTAACTGCGTTTCCTTCTAAATTTTTGATAGCCACTGCGTTCCTTTTCACTCTGCTTGATCGTTTTAAGATTAACTTGCTTTGTTCCCCACAAAATTTCCGTTAATTTTGTTATCAGTTATCACGTAGTTTCACACTTTTTCGTCTTGCTATCCAGGGCCGGACCCAACAAAGTAAACTAATATACTAAACTCAGTACTATAAAGAACGCATTAGAAAATACAAGAAAAAGTAAACGAGAAAAAATATAGAAAATAAGCCACACTAGTTACTAAAATAAAATAGTAGAAACAGAAAGCTAGAGGAGAAATATAAAGAGTTTAGAAAAATGGCGAAC